AGTTCTCTTTTTTTACTGGGTCTCTGTCTGGTTTAGGAATCAAAGTAATACTGGCTTCATAGAATGAGTCTCGAAGTCTTCCTTCCCTTTCTATTTCTTGGAATAGCTTGAGAAGAATAGGTATTATCTCTGCTTTAAACGTCTGGTAGAACTCCCCTGGGAAGCCATCTGGTCCTGGACTCTTATTTGTTGGGAGATTTTTGATAACCGATTCAATTTCTTTGCTGGTGATGGGTCTGTTCAAGCTTTCTATTTCCTCCTGATTGAGTTTTGGAAGAGTGTGGGTGTTCAGGAATTTGTCCATTTCTTCCAGGTTGTCCAATTGTTGGCATAATTTTTCATAGTATTCCCTGATAATTGTTTGTATCTCTGAGGGATTAATTGTAATCATCCCATATTCATTCATGATTTTATCTATTTGGGTCATCTCCCTTTTCTTTTTGAGAAGCCTGGCTAGAGGTTTGTCAATTTTGTTTATTTTTTCAAAAAACCAACTCTTGGTTTTGTTGATCTGCTCTACAGTTTTTTTAGATTCTAAATTGTTTATTTCTGCTCTGATCTTTATTATTTCTCTTCTTCTGCTGGGTTTAGGCTGCCTTTGCTGTTCTGCTTCTATTTCCTTTAGGTGTGCTGTTAGATTTTGTATTTGGGATTTTTCTTGTTTCTTGAGATAGGCCTGGATTGCAATGTATTTTCCTCTCAGGACTGCCTTCATTGCGTCCCAAAGCATTTGGATTGTTGTATTTTCATTTTCGTTTGTTTCCATATATTTTTTAATTTCTTCTCGAATTGCCTGGTTGACCCACTCATTCGTTAGTAGGGTGTTCTTTAACCTCCATGCTTTTGGAGGTTTTCCAGACTTTTTTCTGTGGTTGATTTCAAGCTTCATAGCATTGTGGTCTGAAAGTATGCATGGTATGATTTCAATTCTTGTAAACTTATGAAGGGCTGTTTTGTGACCCAGTATATGATCTATCTTGGAGAATGTTCCATGTGCACTCGAGAAGAAAGAATATTCTGTTGCTTTGGGATGCAGAGTTCTAAATATATCTGTCAAGTCCATCTGATCCAATGTCTCATTCAGGGCCCTTGTTTCTTTATTGACCGTGTGTCTAGATGATCTATCCATTTCTGTAAGTGGAGTGTTAAAGTCCCCTGCAATTACCACATTCTTATCAATAAGGTTGCTTGTGTTTATGAGTAATTGTTTTATATATTTGGGCGCTCCAGTATTCGGCGCATAGACATTTATAATTGTTAGCTCTTCCTGATGGATAGACCCTGTCACTATTATATAATGTCCTTCTTCATCTCTTGTTACAGCCTTTAATTGAAAGTCTAGTTTGTCTGATATAAGTATGGCTACTCCAGCTTTCTTTTGGCTTCCAGTAGCATGATAAATAGTTCTCCATCCCCTCACTCTCAATCTAAAGGTGTCCTCAGGTCTAAAATGAGTCTCTTGTAGACAGCAAATAGATGGGTCTTGTTTTTTTATCCATTCTGATACCCTATGTCTTTTGGTTGGCGCATTTAATCCATTTACATTCAGTGTTATTATAGAAAGATAGGGGTTTAGAGTCATTGTGATGTCTGTATGTTTTATGCTTGTAGTGATGTCTCAGGTACTTTGTCTCACAGAGTCCCCCTTAGGATCTCTTATAGGGCTGGTTTAGTGGTGACAAATTCCTTCAGTTTTTGTTTATTTGGGAAGACCTTTATCTCTCCTTCTATTCTAAATGACAGACTTGGTGGATAAAGGATTCTCAGCTGCATATTTTTTCTGTCTAGCACACTGAACATCTCGTGCCAACTCTTTCTGGCCTGCCAAGTTTCAAAAGAGAGATCAGTCATGAGTCTTATAGGTCTCCCTTTATATGTGAGGGCACGTTTACCCCTTGCTGCTTTCAGAATTTTCTCTTTATCCTTGTATTTTGCCAGTTTCACTATGATATGTCGTGCAGAAGATCGATTCAAGTTACGTCTGAAGAGAGTTCTCTGTGCCTCTTGCATTTCAATGCCTTTTTCCTTCCCCAGTTCAGGGAAGTTCTCAGCTATTATTTCTTCAAGTACCCCTTCAGCACCTTTCCCTCTCTCTTCCTCCTCTGGGATACCAATGATGCGTATATTATTTTTTTTTAGTGTATCATTTAGTTCTCTAATTTTCCCCTCATACTCCTGGATTTTTTTATCTCTCTTTTTCTCAGCTTCCTCTTTTTCCATAACTTTATCTTCTAGTTCACCTATTCTCTCCTCTGCCTCTTCAATCCGAGCCGTGGTGGTTTCCATTTTGTTATGCATTTCATTTAAAGCGTTTTTCAGCTCCTCGTGACTGTTCCTTAGTCCCTTGGTCTCTGTAGCAAGAGATTCTCTGCTGTCAGCTATACTGTTTTCAAGCCCAGCGATTAATTTTATGACTATTATTCTAAATTCACTTTCTGTTATATTATTTAAATCCTTTTTGATCAGCTCATTAGCTGTTGTTATTTCCTGGAGATTCTTCTGAGGGGAATTCTTCCGCTTGGTCATTTTGGATAGTCCCTGGCGTGGTGAGGACCTGCAGGGCACTTCCCCTGTGCTGGGGTGTATAACTGGAGTTGGTGGGCGGAGCCGCAGTCAGACCTGATGTCTGCCCCCAGCCCACCGCTGGGGTCACAGTCAGACTGGTGCGTGCCTTCTCTTCCCCTTTCCTAGGGGCGGGATTCACTGTGGGGTGGGGTGGCCTGTCTGGGCTACTTGCACACTGCCAGGCTTGTGATGCTGGGTATCTGGCGTCTTAGCTGGGGTGGGTAGGCAAGGTGCACAGGGGCAAGAGGGGCAGGCTTAGCTTGCTTCTCCTTAGGTGATCCACTTCAGGAGGGGCCCTGTGGCAGCAGCAGGGAGTCAAATCCGCTGCCGGAGGTTTGGCTCCGCAGAAGCGCAGAGTTGGGTGTTTGCGCCGAGCGAGCAAGTTCCCTGGCAGGAACTGGTTCTCTTTGCGATTTTGGCTGGGGGATGGGCGGGGAAGATGGCGCTGGTGAGCGCCTTTGTTCCCCACCAAACTGAGCTCTGTTGTCCGGGGGCTCAGCAGCTCTGCTTCCCTTTGTCCTCCAGCCTTCCCGCTTTCTGAGCAGAGCTGTTAACTTATGACCTCCCAGCCGCTAAGTCGCGCTTGCTGTGGGAACACAGTCCGTCAGGCCCCTCCGCTTTTTGCAAGCCAGACTCGGGGGCTCTGCTTAGCCGGCGAGCCGCCCCTCCGCCCCGGCTCCCTCCCGCCAGTCCGTGGAGCGCGCACCGCCTCGCCGCCCTTCCTACCCTCTTCCGTGGGCCTCTCGTCTGCGCTTGGCTCCGGCGACTCCGTTCTGCTAATCCTCTGGTGGTTTTCTGGGTTATTTAGGCAGGTGTAGGTGGAATCTAAGTGATCAGCAGGACGCGCGGTTAGCCCAGCGTCCTCCTACGCCGCCATCTTCCCTCCAATCCAGATTTGTCTGGAATTTTAAATTACATGGGAAACATTGTAAAATACTAAGTGATGATAAGCCATCATAGGTTATATGTGTGTAGATATATTTTGCTAGTATAGGTATATGGGAATTATAAGAAGTTCACAGTAATTTATAATTATCTTCATTATCTAGTTATTTTAAAATTATATATGCTACAAGAATATCTACTTCCTTTACCAAATGAATTCTCATATGACTTTAACTATGGCCATTTAAAGTCATTTGTAATTCACAGATAGTTATTATTTGACATTGATTCTTCTCTAAATGTGTTTATAATCAGGCATGAATGCTCCATAATGGCATCATTTGAAGAACTTTTAGTATGTCCTTCTTAAGGAAGTAAATATATTTTGCCTATAATTTTCTAATTTTTGATTGTAGGAGCATTTTGTAATAGCATATTGGTAACATAAAACTATTCCAATATTGAAAATATTTCTAGAATCAATAAATTTATAGATTCATGAAACTGTTTACTCAATATCAAACAAAAGAAGAAATAAATCCACGTGGCTGAAGAACTGAAGGGAATTATAATTTCTTATTCATTTTTCTTTGAAACGTTGTTTTTAATCTATTTCCCCCAGAATTAAAGGAGAGTGTATTTTTTAAGCTAGGTATAATTTACAGCAATTTGTGAAGTACACTTCAGTGACCTGAGATAGAACAGTTACTATTATCTCTACATGATCACTCCCGAATTAAAAAAAAGAAAAAAGAAAAGAACACAATAAACTCTCAAGTATTCTTGTATTTATAATGATTTAGTTATCTTAATAAGTTAGATAAGAAGCTGTGAGAGAAGAATATAAAAAGGGAAAAAGACAATCTCTTCAACAATTGGTGTTGGGAAACTGAATAGTCATAAGCAAAAGAATAAAACTAGACCAATTGCTTTCACCATACACAAAAATAAACTCAAAATGGAATAAAGACAAAAATGTGAGCTCTGAAAAAATAAAAATACTTAAAGAGAGCACAGACAGTAATGTTTCTGGCATCAGCTGTAGCTACATTTTTTTTTTTTTTTTAGATATATCTGTGGGAAACAGAACAGCACAATGACCACAGGCGCATGTTCATTCAGGATCCAAGATCCCTGAGAAAACTCGAGATCATAAGGTTAAAAATAACCTGAAAGGATTTGAGTGAACTTGGGAAATGTGGTCTGTTCTTTAGTACACAGATAGGGATGTTTTGCTTAAAGGAAGTCAGGTGTATAAAGCACAGTGCATTCACTCCCTTCTTTGTCTTTGCCTCTATAATCATGATTCTTATCAGAACATATGTGTTTCGGGGCGCCTGGGTGTCTCAGTCGGTTGAGCCTCCGACTTCAGCTCAGGTCACGATCTCGTAGTCCGTGAGTTCGAGCCCCGCGCCGGGCTCTGGGCTGATGGCTCAGAGCCTGGAGCCTGCTTCCGATTCTGTGTCTCCCTCTCTCTCTGCCCCTTCCCTGTTCATGCTCTGTCTCTCTGTCTCAAAAATTAAAAAATAAACGTTAAAAAAAAAAGAACATATGTGTCTGCAAGACTGCTCTCCTACACAACGTACGTAAGATAGCTGAATCAGATGTACATTGTGGACATGCTTTGCTAAGTTTCTGTTATTAATCATTGCTGATCTGTGTTTTCCTGAAAACGTATATAAGAAGATGTACAATAAACCTCGGTACCTCAGGCTGTTGGCTCGGGGTCCCCGGTGCCTCGCTATTCTGTCCTCTCTTTTTCTCAGTTCCTTCGCCGCCCCGGGTTCCCGGCCCATTGAGGTGGAAAAGTGGTGCCGAACAGGGACCTGAAGCCCCCTCTGAGGAGTGATAGGCAAGCGTTTGGAACTCTACAGAAGGCAGTAAGTAGGAAACTTGTTTACAGGGTAATGGTGCAATCACAGCCAAAATTTTCCAGTTTTGCTGCTCTAATATATAATTTTCTAAAAGAATATGGAGCAAAAGTCACTAAGCATAGCATTGAAAAATGTTTAGGAACTGATAAAATACAATCCTTGGTTCTCCGAAGAGGATTCTTTGCATAAAGTCACGTGGATTTGGGTTAAGAATGTTATGAAAGCCATGCGTCAAGCGGAGACTATCTCCCTTGACTTCTGGCCTATACGGGCTCTAATAAGAGTTGTTATTAATACTATGGAGACTGGGGATAAACCTCTGCTGCTGAGATTGGTAAAGAAACGGCTGGCTGTCTCTATACTTACGAGTTAGATGATGAAACCTGACAAAAGTTTAAAACCGAAAGTAAAAGAATTTTTGTGGCGGCTCAATCCTGACCTTTATCCATGGCTCCGCCACCACAAAATGGGTCAGAGGAGGATTATCCCCCTCCCTGAATATCGGAGCTATCTTCATCTAGGCATTCATGACTCCCTATTTCTTCCCTGGAGAGGGAACTCTGGTGTCAAGGAGGGAGTGACTTGTTTATGGTTTTCCCTATAAACAACTCAAGCCGCTGGGCCAGACAATGAAGGCTTAGACTTAAATACTTTAAGATAGTTAAAAAAGGCATGCCATTTTTATGGACCTACTGCTTCCCTATACGATAGAAATTCTGAAGGCATGGGTGGCTTCAGGAGAATGGATACCTTATGATTGGTATGTGGTGCCATGAGCATGTCTTAAACCCCAAGATCTTTTACAATGGAAAATGTGGCTGACAGATGCAGCATACTTGAAATCTCCAGCTAATAGAGCCAATCCCCCTATGCAACATATTTCTTTTGAAATACTCATGGGAACTGGTATTTTCTCAGGTGTATGAGAACAGTTGGTGAATACACCACCAGGCGCTACTGCTCAAATTTCTAAAATCTCTTTAGCGGCTTGGGAAAAATTAACCCCTTCAGGAGAAGTAGGACAAAGCTATATAAAAATTATACAGGGACTCACAGAGCCTTACACTGACTTTATTTCTAGGCTTAAGCAGGCTATTGAACGACAGGTTGGCAGTAAGACTGCTAGAGAGAATTTACGGAAACAACTTGCCTTTGAAAATGCTAATGAAGATTGTCAAGCTGCTATCAGACCACATAGCGAATCCCTAAATTTACTTGATTATCTCTGGCTTTGTAGGAACATTGGCATGCTTACCCATCAAGCTCCAATTACTTCATTACAACTGATGGCTTTGCAAAAACAGAAAGAAAGTAAATGCTATAACTGTGGGAAATTAGGTCATGTAAGAAAGGAATGCCACAAGGTTCCACCACAGAAAATGATTACTCCTACTGCTTCTGCCCCTAGCCTCTGTCCTTGTTGTGGCAAGGGCAAACATTGGGCTAAAGAATATAAATCTAAATTTGATAAACAAGGTAACCCACTGTCCCCTCAGTCGGGAAATGGGATGGCCACTCCCCGCTCCCCACCCTGAACAACAAGGGGGGATCAGCTTCCTGCAGCCCACACAAACCCTCCATGTTATCACTCAGTCCACACCACTTGGGGAAGTGCCGCTGTAGATTTGACCACTCCACTTACTGTAAATTTACATCCTGGCCTTGGGCCACAAAAAATCCCTACCAGTAACTATGATCCACTCCCGCAAGGGACGGTAGTACTCATCTTGGGTAGATCAAGCTTAAATCTTGAGGGAATTCAAATGTTAACAGGAATAATTTATTCCGATTATGAAGGAGAAATAATGGTTGTTGTTCAAACCCGTGTGCCTTGGACCTTTAAGAGCGGTGATAGAATTGCCCAGTTTTTGTTCCCTTCTATTCCAGTTGGAGCTTCACAAGAAATCAGGAAAGGTGGGTTTGGGAGACTTGACCCCTCATGGTGAAATGGGCCTCATTATTAACTGAGATTGACCGCCTCTCCATGACTCTTAAAATTCAAGGCAAATCATTCTCTAGGTTAGTAGACTCTGGAGGTGATATTTTGGTAATTTCCTCTTGATACTGGCCTCCATCCTAGCCTACACAGGCTACCACTAGTTCTGTAAAAGGAATAGGCTTTGTAACAACAGAAGAGATCCGTCAAAGTAGTCTTCTCCTTAAATTGGAAGGTGTTATTCAACAATTTATTTTTATTTTATTTTATTTTATTTTATTTTATTTTATTTTATTTTATTTTCTTATTTATTTTTTTAATTTACATCCAAATTAGCATATAGTTCAACAATGATTTCAGGAGTAGATTCCTTAGTGCCCCTTACCCATTTAGCCCATCCCCCCTCCCACACCTGCTCCACTAACCCTCTGTTTGTTCTCCATATTTATGAGACTCTTATGTTCTGTCCCCCAACCTGTTTTTATATTACTTTTGTTTCCCTTCCCTCATGCTCACCTGTTTTGTCTCTTAAAGTTTTCATATGAGTGAGGTCATATGATTTTGTCTTTCTCTGACTGACTAATTTCACTTAGCATAATACCCTCCAGTTCCATCCACATAGTTGCAAATGGAAAAAATTCATTGTTTTTGATTAATGAGTAATACCCCATTGTATATACATACCACATCTTCTTTATCCATTCATCCCTCAATGGACATTTGGGCTCTTTCCATACTTTGGCTATTGTGGATAGTGCTGCTATAAACATTGGGGTGCATGTGTCCCTTCGAAACAGCATATCTGTATCCCTTGGATAAATACCTAGTAGTGCAATTGCTGGGTATTTTTAGTTTTTTGAGGAACCTCCATACTGTTTTCTAGAGTGGCTGCACCAGCTTGCATTCCCACCAACAATGCAAAAGAGATCCTCTTTCTCTGCATCCTAGCCAACATTTGTTGTTGCCTGTGTTGTTCATGTTAGCCATTCTGACAGGTGTCAGGTGTTATCTCATTGTGGTTTTGATTTGTATTTCCCTGATGATGAGTGATGTTGAGCATTTTTTTCATGAGTCGGTTGGCCATCTGGATGTCTTCTTTGGAGAAATGTCTATTTGTGACTTTTGCCCATTTCTTCACTGGATTCTTTGTTTTTTGGGTATGGAGTTTGATAAGTTCTTTACAGATTTTGGATACTAACCCTTTATCTGATATGTCATTTGCACATATCTTCTCCCATTCTGTCGGTTGTCTTTTAGTTTGGCTGATTGTTTCCTTCACTGTGTAGAAGCTTTTTATTTTGATAAGGTCAAAGTAGCTCATTTTTGTTTTTGTTTCCCTTGCCCCTGGAGACATGTTGACTAAGTTGCCGTGGTCAAGATCAAAGAAGTTTTTGCCTGCTTTCTCCTCGAGGATTTTGATAGCTTCCTGTCTTACATTTAGGTTTTTCATCCATTTTGAGTTTATTTTTGTGTATGGCTTAATAAAGTGGTCCAAGTTAATTCTTCTGCATGTCTCTGTCCAGTTTTCCCAGCACCATTTGCTGAAGAGACTGTCTTTATTCCATTGGATATTCTTTCCTGCTTTGTCAAAGATTAGTTGGCCATACGTTTGTGGGTCCATTTCTGGGTTCTCTATTCTGTTCCATTGTTCCGAGTGTCTGTTCTTGTGCCAGTACCATACTGTCTTGATGATTACAGCTTTGTAGTATAGCTGGAAGTCTGGGATTGTGATGTCTCCGGCTTTGGTTTTCTTTTTTGGGATTGCTTTGGTTATTCAGGGTCTTTTCTGGTTCCATACAAATTTTAGGATTATTTGTTCTAACTCTGTGAAGAATGCTGGTGTTACTTTGATAGGGATCCCATTGAATGTGTAGATTGGTTTGGGTAGTATTGACGTTTTGACAATATTTGTTCTTCCTATCCAGGATCATGGAATCTTTTCCCAATTTTTGTGTCTTCTTCAACTTATTTCATAAGCTTTCTATAGTTTTCAGTGTATAAATTTTTTTAAATTCTTTGGTAAATTTATTTCTAGGTATTTTATGGGTTTTGGTGCAATTGTAAATGGGATCTATTCCTTGATTTCTCTTTCTGTTGCTTCATTGTTGGTGTATAGGAATGCAACCAATTTCTGTGCATTGATTTTATATTCTGCAACTTTGCTGAATTTGTGAATGAGTTCTAGCAGCTTTTTGGTGGAATCTTTTGGGTTTCCATATAGAGTATCATGTCATCTGCAAAGAGTGAATGTTTGACCTCCTCCTGGCCAATTTGGGTGTTTTTTATTTCTTTGTGTTGTCTGATTGCAGAGGCTAAGACTTCCAATACTATGTTGAATAACAGTGGCTAGTGGCAAGAGTGGACATCCCTGTCTTGTTCCTGACCTTAGGGGAAAAGCTCTGTTTTTTCCCATTGAGGATGATATTAGTGATGGGTCATTCATATATGGCTTTTGTATCTCAAGGTATGCTCCTTCTATCCCTACTTTCTTGATGGTTTTTATCAGGAAAGGATGCTATGTTTTGTCAAATGCTTTCTCTGCATCTATTGAGAGGATCATATGGTTCTTGTCCTTTCTTTTATTGATGTGATGAATCACATTAATTGTTTTGTGGATATTGAACCAGCCCTGCATCCCAGGTATAAATCCCACTTGGTTGTGGTGAAAAAAAATTTTTTAAGTATTGTTGGAGCCGGTTGGCTAATATCTTGCTGAGGATTTTTGCATCCATGTTCATCAGGGAAATTGGTCTATAGTTCTTTCTAGTGGGGTCTCTGTCTGGTTTTGGAATCAAGGTAACACTGGCTTCATAGAAAGAGTTTGGAAGTTTTCCTTCCATTTCTATTTTTGGTACAGCTTCAAGAGAATAGGTGTTAACTCTTCCTTAAATGTTTGGTATAATTCCCCTGGAAAGCCATCTGGCCCTGGACTTTTGTTTTTTTGGGAGATTTTTGATTACTAATTCCATTTCCTTACTGGCTATGGGTCTGTTCAAATTTTCTATTTCTTCCTGTTTCAGTTTTGGTAGTGTAAATGTTTCTAGGAATTTGTCCATTTCTTCCAGATTGC